CAGCTCAACCTAGCATCAACCTAGCAGTAAGCCGGTCCAGAAGACTAGTCAAGCATGAGGTGCCCTGGACGTTTCTTGGAGAATGAGAATAAAGGTTTAGACCTGGACGTTTCAAGGGGTTGCTAAACCTGGACACCTTCAAAACCAATCTGACCAGGACATGAGATGACCTAGACGTTCTTAAAATGTTTCTTAGGGGCATGAAATGACCTGGCCGTTTTCAAGACTTGCACTTGACCAGGATATGAGATGACCTAGACGTTTTCAAGATTTGCACTTGACCAGGACATGAGATGACCCGGACGTTTTCAAGACTTGCACTTGATCAGGACACGAGATGACCCGGACGTTTTCAAGATTTGCACTTGACCAGGACATGATATAACCCGGACGTTTTAAGGACTTTTCAGGAGTTGATGAGAATAAAAGTTTAGACCGGGATGTTTTCAGGACCTACTAGACCCGGACGTCCTTCAAAAGTTTCAACCAAGCCTACTAGACCTGGATGTTTTCAAGACCAGGACATGAGATGACCGAGACATTCTAAAAGGAATTCCTAAGAGAGGGCCAAGCAAGAAAACAACCATGCAAGTCTAGCCAAGCAATTTCAGAGGAGGACCAAGCTAGAAAACAACCATGCAAGTCTAACCAGTCAACTTCAAAGGGGGACCAGGAAGGAAAATAACCATGCAAAGAAACTTAACCATTCAAGAAGTTCAACCAGGCGCAAAGGAATGCGACCGGACCATGAAAGCCTCCTTAATTGGTGACCATTCCATTTGAAGAGGGTCGGCCTTCTTTTTCATAGAACCCTCCCGAGAACTCTTATGTTAACCCTTCCACTCTTGGGACTTAACCCAGTTATCATATGAGATTTGCATCATATAACCGGGTACTTGACCGGTTACTCTTGAAGGGGTGTGCACCCGGCACTTGACCGGGTACTCTAGGAGGACTAGGAGGACTTACGTTGCAGAAGACCGGTGAATTATTTAGAGTTTACATTTGGATTTCCCAATAATTCAAACGTGACAGGTCCCAGAGGAAGACTTGATGATTACAAAAGTGACAGGTTCGAGAAGAAGGCTTGATGATCTCAAAAGAGACAGGTCGGAGGGGAAGACTTGGTGATTTCAAACGTGACAGGTCCGAGAAGAAGACTTGATGATTACCATAGTGCCAGGTTTGATGAACCCCAAAGCGCCAGGTCTGATGAACTCCAAAGTGCCAGGTCTGATGAACTCCAAAGTGCCAGGTCTGATGAACTCCAAAGTGCTAGGTCCGATGAACCCCAAAAGCGCCAGGTCTGATGAACTCTAAAGTGCTAGGTCTGATGATCTCCAAAGTGCCAGGTCTGATGAACCCCAAAGCGCCAGGTCTGATGAACTCCAAAGTGATACGTGTGATGATCCGCAAAGTGCCAGGTCTGAGGAGCCCCAAAGTGGACAGGTCATGGGAATGACTTGATGATTTCAAAGAAGGACAGGTCATGGGAATGACTTGATGGCTTCAAAGAAGGACAGGTCATGGGAATGACTTGATGATTTCAAAGAAGGACAGGTCATGGAAATGACTTGATAATTTCAAAGAAGAATAGGTCATGGGAATGACTTGATGATTTCAAAGAAGGACAGGTCATGACAATGACTTGATGATTTCAAAAGTGATAGATCAACATAAATATACTTCCCGCCCTTGATGACTTCCTCACAAGGCCGGTAAGTGGAGGACTTCTTGATGGGTATATCCCTATACCCGACCCGGACAACCGAAAGGGACAGGTCAAAGTATGACCGGTCACTTTTATCAATCACCAAATGAGGTTAACTCTTCGATTGGGACGGGTCAAAAGTTGACCGGTCACTTCCACTAAAAAAGTGACCGGTCACATTTTGGGCGATAGTGAAAATATCACCTTATTCTACGAAGGACATTCTAGAAGACCAAAGAGACGGGTTGAGCGCAAGAAATGACCGGGTAACCTTTCAGAGAAGGTGACCGGTCATATCACTTTACTTGGCTAACATTGGTCCAGTCTCTTAGGCATGGTGAA